TTCATTTAGTATAGCAGGGGAATATTTCACTTGTATCACAGTATGGTATCTTGCTAGTTCTATGTTCTAGTGATTCCTCTCTTTCTTAGGGTTTGTATAGTAACCTCCTGCTTGTGTCCTACTAGCAATACAAATGCAACTTCATTCAAATGAAAATACAGAAAGAACACTTGGAATGAGATTTTTTTTCTGAGAGTCATACTTCTCTTTTGATGAGAGCACTTGATCAAATGCATTCCATCCACCCACAGCCCCCTGCCTTCTCTGTGTTTCACTGATAACGTGACCCACCACACTGAAACAGTATTATTTCCAGAAAAGCTGTGGGCAAGCATGATGATGATAAGACAAAAAGGGAAGTGAATGTTAAACAGAATGGGAGAGAAAGGAATTGTGCATATATATGAGGAAATCAGAAAAGAATGGTAAAAAAAAAAAAGGTGTGGTTATAGTTGGATATAATAAGGGGGGAAATAAGTGCATATTCTTTTTAAAGTGTATGCATCATAGAATAGAGAGGAATAATTCTACCCACATCGTTACTCAAAATTCCTAACGGTTTCTGTGGGATATGAATGTGGGAACTGAGGATAGATTTCAATGACATTAGCATGAGTTTAATGTTAGTATAATGGAGTTCATATTTTGGAAAATGTTTGAGAGTAGGCAAAACAACCCTTTTCAGAAGCTGTGTTTAAAAAATATCTTTGCTTAAAGGAAGGACAAATCAGAAATAAAAAGCAAGGGTATTTTACTTACATAGAATTTAGCTGGTTTTAACATAACTCCAGGAATTTTTTTTGCATATATCTATATAAATACACACACATACTCTTTTCATCAATTTGTACTTTCCACAAGTACGTAAGAAAATGGTATTTAAGAACAATTTCTTGGTGATAATGTTCACAAGCAAAGCTAGTTACATTTGTAATCAAAGGAGGATTGGGGACAAGAAAAGTATCCCAGCAGAGGAATACCAGTCCTTCTCAAACATATGACAATACTCTAATTGACTTCAACAGGGGTGGATTCACTACTCTATGCTTTTTTTTTCAACGTAACTCATTGCCGGTCATATTGCTTCTTTGACCAAGCACTTACTTTAGTTTTAGCTGGAATTCACCTCGAGTGAACCATCAGCAAAAAGCCTATGCATCACTTAAGTTCTCATGCACTGATAAATTTCACTTTGTAACCTGTCCTAAAGCAATTGTTCATTCAAATCTCCCCTTCAGAGTTATTAATGGAAGGAAATACAGCCTATTTCAGGAGGTCATATTTTATACACTCGTGTTTATATATTTTTAGTCTGCTCAAAATCTTCTGTTTTGTACCAACTGTTATATTTTGCTCCTGACAAAGCATCAGCTGGTAACAAACAGCTTTGGCCCTGAACACATGCTTCATTTTCATTCTGTAATTTTATCCCATGAAGCTCTCTATTATTCTATATTCTCTCTACTATGAGCAATATCCCACAAGTCATTGCCAAATTGAGCAAGCTATGGGCCTAATTGTGACAAGAGAAAGAAGACTGCTTCTTGTTAACAGGTATGGTAGGTGAATAAAAAATCAAAGCAAGAACTTGGGCAACAGCATTCATTATTTTAGCATGTTGGATGAATTTGGAAGTGTGGAAAATCAGAATGCTCTTGGGATATTCTGCTTTTTCTTTACCCCCAACCACTTCTTAATCACAAAGTTAAGTAATCTAGTATTGGCAAACAACAACTTAGTGCCCAGTTTTGCCTGAGACTACATACTAAACACCCATGCCAGACTTTTCAACCAGAATATGAATTTATCATTTGTGTTGTAACACTCCTCACTTTAGAAGTGATTAATTATCATCTAGAGTCTGGTCCATGCCGTAGGGAAATGTTTAGATCTGTACTTAACTCTTTTAGATTGATTAGTGTACCTAAAGCTATTTATGTTTCCTTCTGGATCAGAACAGATTTCTCAATCAGCACAAATTTTTCATTGAATATCGTTTATTTCAGGACCATAGCAAATGTGGGGTGATTCACAGAATTTTCAGGTGTGGTGATGAAACTTCTAAGCAACTGCAAAATAGCAACCAATCTGTCATCTGTGGCACTGACCTTCTACAAGTATAGCTGGTGAGAGAGAAAGACAGTTCAAAACTTACCTGAACTGGCACTGGAAAAGACCCCAATCTGATTTAGAATATCTGAATAGCTATCATGTATCACATGAATTTCAGAGGCCTTATCTGATCTGTTATGGTAGGCTGTTGAAGCTTCAGAATAAATCATCTAATTGCTTTGTGCTGTCTGACATACCAGTTTGCACCAACTGGCACCAATAACTGGGGAGTGCGAGTTTAGTATTTAGCTAACTGCAAGTCTTGGGTGGCAGATACAGACTTTAAAGGCAAAATTCCAAGGTAAATGATTTGATAGTTTTGTTAGAAAATCATTGTGACATTATTATTACTGAGAACATTAAAAATTGTGTTTGCCTGTTGCATCATATTTTATTTAATGCATTGCCATTCTTTTGCACTCCATTGAAATGGTTCTTGCTAAAGAGTGTGCTTACCTCTTCTTAAATCTCAAAACCATCCTCTTTGATGTATTAGCTGCCATCAGTCGTATTCTTCTTTCTAGAATCTTATTTTTTCTTGGCTTCCATGGCCTTATTATTTCCCAGATCATCTCTTAGCTTTCTGATTATCACTTCAGTAAGTGCTTTAGAGGGATCTTTGTTGGAACACCTCCACATCATCTCTTCCCTTTATATTTGCAAATACAGCTTCAACTGCTGTCTCTATACATGCAGCTCACAAACCTGCTTCATTAATCCAGACCTTCTCTTTCCCATCACACCAAGGTCTCTGTCTCTCAGATGATCCCTTTGGAATGATATTGGCTACGTCTCTACCAGCAGGTGGTGTGGCATGGAGAAACGGGCAGATCAGCAAAGCAAAACAGGTGGTGCTGAGGACCTACACCCACATTGTGTGCATTGTGCAGAGAGGTTATCTCAAACTAGCTGTGATCTAGTAACATGGACTGGATCTAGCAGTTGAAGCTATGCTTGGAGCAAAAGCACAGGTGCAGTCTTTGAATATGGGCTTAGGGTTAGTTTCATCTGAAAGTTCATGAACTCCAGGACTGCTCTGCAATGCAAACTACAGCCCAGTAAGTGGAAATATCCTTCTGAAAGAAACACTGCATGCTTTCTGCCATGATTGCTCTCAAACTTAGAGCTGTCTTTTGACAGATGCCTATAAACTTGAGAATTGTTTGGGTGTTAATCTGCTATGGCACAACCTACCATGCTGACCAGTTGCCTGCCTCTTTTAATTAAATTGTAAATTCTTTGAGGTGACATCTTCTCTTTTCCTAACACTGATGCCACTGGATAATAATTATTTTCTTATAAATGCAAATATATTATTATTATTATTTCCATTGCAGCTCATATACTGTCATCTCTTTTCTATTTCCAGAAAACTTCTCATGGCTTTGTTATATAAGACATCTGGTCAGTATAGCTCAGCTACAAGCCAAGGATTGTAAGAACTGTTTCAGTTAGCATAATCTCCCAGTCACAAACAGTACAATCTTTGTCATCGGAAAGGAGAATTATATAAGGTTGCTTCTAGCCATTGTAGTCATTTTGGACTTGTGTGGTTGGGGGGAGGGTGTTTGTTTCTTTTTAGTGCAGTAAAAGCGCAGAATTAAAATGCCTCAAATATTGTTTTATCATTTAGTACTATGCATTCATTTCATCAGTAGGATACAGACCTATTTTCAGTAGAGTGGCGTAACTGGCCAGTAGTGGCTCTGATAGCTATGCAAAAGACGCTAGAAGATGTGAGAATGACCACACACTCAAGACAACAGCATTGCCAGGTTCAACTATATGAGCAAATTTACAGGAAGAGCTGAAAGACAGCATTAAATGACACAGCAGAAGAAAACCCTCTATTAAGCTGTACCATCCTGAAGACTGACCAGGATGTATATCGCTTAGTTCACTTCTGTGTGTGAGTCAGTGTGTCCCTTGCTTGACTAGGCTAGCCTCCATGAGACCAGCCACTATTTTCTTGTGCCTCTGTGTCCCTAGCCATAAAGGATCATTGGGCATCTCATAGGTTGGGGGTTTTTTGTATGTATCTTAGTAATAACTGTGTAAATTAGGAACTAGTTGTTAAAGAGGAAAAATATTGTGAGAGTGAGGGTACGGACTGTGTTCAACTGGACCAGATTCCCGCTCACCACTCAAAATGGCTACTCACTTAAGCCCTTTGGACTGCTTTTCAGAGACACTTCAGTCTTTTCCTTGACAATACACAGGTGCTGAAGGAGAATTCAGGCCACCAAAAATATTATTCCATGTATTTCTGTGGGTCATACAGGTTTTGTGTGGCAGATCAGGTCTTTGGAGACCTAGACAAGAGCCTTACACATTTACTCTTCTCTAGCAGACTTCCCATTCTTCCCTAGCAGACTTTACTTGCTCTGGAAGACTTTCTTTATCAGTAGTTGATATTTAGATTTAGATTTAGATTTGTGAGAAGAAAAGAGCAAATATTTTTCTTAGGTGTTGTCATCCTGAGGGTGCTTACACAAGGACCCAGCTTCATTCTTTCAAACTTTCTGAAAGTAGGCCCCATACTGTTCCTGTGCTACTTTCTCTTATGCAGAAAGTAAGAAGTATTTTAGGTCTAATATGGTTTAGCTGCTTTGAACTGGTAGCTTTGTTCTAAAGAACGTTTGCAACTAAGACTGAACCTCTGTGTGTGTGTCTGTTGTACGTGTACATGCGTGGTTTGTCCATACTTTGGGATTTGGATCTCTGAACAGCAGTGTTGTTGCCTAACTGAGGCTGGTATACCACAAGATTAATACAGTATGTGTTGGTAAAGCTGATTTTAAATTCAAAATGACTATCTGTGTGCCCCTTTTAGTCACTTATTAGTCACTGTTTATTCTGACCTGTATTCCTTTTTTTCCCCCATTCAGACGTTGCAAGAGCAATTGAGTTACTGGAGAAACTGCAAGAATCTGGAGAAGTACCAGTACATAAGCTACAGTCCCTAAAGAAGGTGCTGCAGAGTGAGTTTTGTACAGCTATCAGAGAGGTATGAAATTGAGATTTTTAGTTATTTCTCAGATTAACATCCTCGTCCTGGAAAGAAAAGTATATTTGCCTTTCAGTGCTGGAGAAGCAGGAGTACCTTGTATAAAGGATGATGGATGTGAGATGTGTCTGTAGCTGCCTGCTACCATGCAGAATGCTGAAGTTACTGAAAAGCAGACACAGAAAAGTTGCATCAGCAAGGCATCAAGGCAATTAGCCTTGCTAAGGAGAAAGAGTGATTAATTAGTACTTTAGTATTCTGCTCATGCTGTTTCAGGGTCTGTGCTAACCTGTACAGCACTGTGCTGGGATATGGGGACATGCCAGGTTGGGTCAGTGCAAGCTTAAATGCCTCTCCTTTGAGCGCAGGTGTGTGATAGGGATGTGCTGATAAAATCAGAATGCTGTGAGAGACAAACAGTGCAAGCAGTGAAGTTAACTGAAGCTGACAGGAATCTTGCCGTTGAAGTCAGTGGCCGGGTCCCAGTGGGCCTTGCTCCACGTGTCAGAAATCCTTGTCAGATTGCTAAGAACTGTGACCATTACCCTGCCAGCTGTGGTCAGGGGCCTTCCTAAGCTCTGCCCAACTGCAGGTGAATGATGATTGTTTTCTTCTAGTCAAGCTAGAGAAGAAGCACCCCACTTCCTACATGCATACAAGCAGCATCTTTAAAGCAGTTAAATTACAGATACTTCTGTTAGAAGTTTCTTAGACAGAAAGCATGAGTTAATACAACATTGTGTCAGACGACTTACCTACTAAACTGAATGCTGTTAGCCTGCCAGACGGAAGCAGTTCTAAATGCCCTAATGAAGGCAACATCCTTTCAGCAGAAAATCTGTAAGAACTACTGTTTCAGTTTATCTGTCTAGTGCCTGGAACTAATCCTCCCTTGCTGAAATCAATGGGGAATCTAATGTTCCCTTGATGGTGGCAGGACTGAACTCCTGATAACTAGGCAACAGCAGCACACTGATTGAGTGGACTGCTGGGTGGCTGGAAGGAAGAAAGAGAGGAACAGTCATTAGTTTAATAAGCAAAATGCAATACACTCTTTGTTTTATGGAATATATTCTTCAATGTGAGAAACAGAGAGAGGCTTCCACTTAATTAAATGGCAGTTTTCAAGGCTTTTTAAAGGGAATAGTGTTCCATGACAATAAATAATGGCACTACGTACCCTGAAAAGCTGATATTCTGACTAGTCCTTTCGTTTAACCAACTAAATGCTTCTTTAATTGACTACAGAGCATTGAAAAGTTGTGGGGTTGGGTGTTAGGTTTTTTTTTTCAGATAGCAGAGCCTGGTACTCCAATTGTTAAAGGCAACTTTCAATCTTTGCAGCATCATCAGTGAAATCTTACCAAATTTATATTAATCTCTGGAAAATAGTCTTAGCAGAAGCAAACACAAAGCTAGTTGAAACAGGTACAGAACCTAGGAAGTAGGGAAATGGCTTAGACAAATGTGCTCTCAGTTCAGGGAACTGAAAGCAGATTTTAACAAAATCGTCTCAGTGGCACAAAAGGTCTTTATAGAGTGTTGCGTAAAGACAACCTGCACATGACAGACTATCTAATTACTGTTAGATTCTTACAACCAAATAACAGTCACTTTAAGAAGCCTGGAGCTAGTTGTTCCACAAGAATTGAGTGATGATGAATGAGCAGTTAGATCAGTTCTACCAACTTCATAAAAAAACCCACTTATTTATTTTTACATATTTAATATATAAAAAAAAATAACCTATCTAATATACCACTATCAGAGAACAAAATTTCTACACACAAAATAATTATTAATGCCATTCATCTTTTCTTAGAAGAAATCTTCAAATATAAAAGGCCCAGTAACAAATCTTTTCATTTAGGGAGAGTGGGAAAATTGACATATATACATTGCTAACACTTAAGGTTGTTCAACATGTGGATCCTCTTTTCAGTTACTTACATGAAGCCCTTGGCAAACGTTTAGACTGTAACTCTCTTTTTTCCCACCAGTTGAAGAGTTGTTGGAAAACTGCAGAAAATAATTTCTTCCATTTTTTAAAAACACTAATAAGAAAAGCATGGAATATTTTGGCCATTGTTACATTGTTAGGTATCTCCAAGCACTGCAGCAAGGGCTTGGAGGGTATCTGAGCTGGGTCTCACCGTTAAGCAGGGATGCCCTTCTTGCATGTCCTTCACGTACACTGAAGTTTATGAAAGACTGATAGCTACTTTATTGAACAGCACAGTCTTTTCTGAGTGTATTTGAGCTTGAGATAGCTGAGGCTAGACAGAAATCTCCCTGCAAATGCTTCCTGCTTCCTCCCATTGTTTATCTTCTCTTATCCCAAGTGCAAGACATGAGAGTGTGGCAACTAGCTTTTAATTCCCTCTATTAGCACATCCATAGACTAGAGGAGAAAAGTTGTTGACCTTACAAGAGAAGGCACAACAGTCAGTTGGAAGTAATGAGAAAAATGGGAATTGTTTGGAACACAAGAGCCTTCCTGGAGAAAGCAGTGAAGCAGACCAGGTGTGAGCAGTAGGTAGGAGTAATTGAAATGCGATGAGGAGCAGTGGCAGGCTTTATATTAGTATGCAAATTCTGGAAGAGGCTGCTTATTATATGCATGCAGAGGTTCAGATCTGCAGTGTGGTGTGTTCATTGTATAACGCAAGATCTGAGCCTAAATTCCTTTCACCAGAAAATCTAGTAAAAGAGGTTAAGGCTGACTCCTGTAGTCCTATAAACTCCATAATGGAGGAGCTTTGGAAAACAAACATTTTCTTTTCTAGTCTAAGAAATTATGGACACTTAGCTGTCCAGTGAGTTTGGTTGTTCAAATATGTCCCAGAGAAACTCAGTATTGGGCTGAGTGCAGGTGAAAGGATCAAAGATAAAATATAATGTACACACTATTGATTGAATGTGACTTGTCCCTTCTACACATAGGAATTCTTTAACTACAGAAGCAGAAGGTCACTTTTATGATCAATTAGCCTTTAAAAGTATGAGATATTTTATTAGATGACATACGTTCCAATCTAATGTGTAGGAATCTATTAAATGGCTGTAAAGAATTGTATTTATGGGAACTTATTTAGTAAATCAACCCACCAGTTCAAATCACCGCACTAATATGCCATAGAAATAAAATCTTTTTAAAGTGACTGAGTGAATGAAATTTGAATATAAGTACTTTGGCATTTTTCTAGGATGCTATGTCAGGAAATGGTGATTAATGGTTCTCACTTAGCTAAATATAAGTACCACCGACTGAAATATTCTGTCTGGCACTAGGCAAGAATACATATTAGCTCTAAAAAGAATGGAAATAATTGAAGTATGTAATGGCCTCAGTATTTTCTTTTCACCTGAAGACCCCTAGACCAGAAAACGAGTTAACCAAAGTCTGGTCACATTAAAATTGAGTTTTGAAAAAAAACCTGTGTTTTAAAATTACTTGTTTCAAAAGCTCCCTAGCTACATGAAGATTAATTAGCCTTCTATAGACTTGTTACCTGGCAAAAGAGGCATGAATCTTGTCCATTATACCATTAAGTCCTTTACCCTTCATGTGTTTTTGCTGTTTGTTCAAAGCTGTTGCTATGTTATAGTCTTCTGATTCCCGGTTACTGGAATAGATGAAGGGCAAGGCTGTGAAAGTGAATGTGTAATTGAGCTACTGAGAAGGTATATTCACGTGCAATATAAAACTAGGCAACCTGAATTGATAAAGTGACTTTAATTGTTGTAAGTCAGTAAAAAGCAAGTTATGAGAACTATAAGATAAGGTGAACTTCTGGTCTGGCAAGAAACCTTGAAGAGCTATAGACACAGAAGTTACAGAATAAACAATTGAGCAAAACACAGTGAATCATCAACAAGAAAATGTGGCATACCTTAGCAGATCATGGGAATTTCATTTACTCTTAACATCTGGTAATCGGTACTGAAACACCAGGAGAGTAACGATACAGCTTGATAAACCCATGCATCTCCTGATGAGCAGAAGTTTTCTTTCAGGTTGATTCTCAAGTTTCTATTTCTTTATGTTAAATATGTAAAATTCAGGTGTATCTCGCTTTCCTCCCAGCCTTCCTTTGCTACTCCATTTTCCATTTCAAGATTAAATCTAATGTGTGGATATTATTTAAAAGAAAATCTGAGTGGTAAATACCTATGGTGAAACATTTATCAATACCAAAAGTAATCAGATCAGAAAGTCTTTATAAAAATGTGGTGGGGCAACCAGACACAGAAAAATAACCATTATTTCATTTTGTTATCTTATGACTCCCACCAAAATATTAGGTCATTGCAGAAGAGCACTTTTGCAAGACTGGGTTACTGACAATCGTTTCTTACAAGGAGGAGCAGACAACACAAAATACTCTACTGTTGTGTGTTTTGTATGAAATTAGTCTGTGGAACAGCATGTTGTCTTTGAAGATAGTTCAGTTTCTATTTCAGTAGTTTAAAACTTTTAAACTTATGTTGGGGTTTAGCCCAGCAAGCAGCCAAACACCACACAGCCACTTGCTCACTCCCGCCCCGCCAGTGGGATGGGGGAGAGAATCGGAAAAAAGGTAAAATTTGTGGATTGAGATAAAGACAATTTAATAGAACAGAAAAGGAAGGGAAGATATAATAATAATAACAGTAGAATATACAAAATGAGTGATGCACAATGCAATTGCTCATCACCCACCGACCGATGCCAGCCTGGCCCCAAGCAGTGACCCCCCCCTCCTCGACCAACCCCCAGTTTATGTACTGAGCATGATGTCATATGATATGGAACACCCCATTGGTCAGCTGGGTTAGCTGTCCTGACTATGTACCCTCCCAGCTTCTTGTGCACCTGGCAGAGCATGGGAAGCCAGAAAGTCCTTGACTAGTGTAGACGTTACTTAGCAACAACTAAAACATGTGTTATCAACATTATTCGCATACGAAATCCAAAACACAAGCACTATGCCAGCTACTAGGAGGAAAATTAACTCTAT